GCGGGGGGCAGAGGAGCGCGCTGACCCCCGGCCCGGGCTGCGCGCTCACGGCGCAGACAAAGGCGCGGCCCCGGCCCGGCCCAGCCCGGCCCCACCGCTCCTGGGGAGGGGGGCGCCCCCCACCGGTCCGGCCCGGGGGCGGGGACGCGGCTGCCGAGGATGGGGAAATCCAACAGCAAGTTGAAGCCCGAAGTTGTGGAGGAGCTGACCAGGAAAACGTACTGTGAGTACGCGGGGTTCCCCGCCCCCAGACCCGCGCGCCCCGCATCCGCGCCGCCTGGACTAGGAGGCCTGGGCGCGCCTGACCCGCACCTGGCCCTATTGTCCCCCCAGCCCGGGCCCTGTGTCGCCTGTCACCGTTCGCGGGGCCGCCCCAGCCCCCCGCGGCGCCCTCCACGCAGAGGCTCGGGTGGGGCGGGGGGTGTGCGGGTGGGGGCGGGGCGCGCCGTGCGGTGACTCGGCCCTGGGTGACTCACGCGCCCGCCACCGCTGCTGCGAGGTCGCCCGTCGCCCCCTCCCTGGGCCCCGTGTGTAGAAGGCGAGACCGCAGCAGGGCGCTGGGGAGGGCGCCGGGCGCCCCGGGGTGCCGCATTCTTGGGCTCCCTCCACTTCGCTCAGGACGCGGGTTTGTGGTACCGCAGGAGGCCGACCAGACCAGGTGGGTTCCGTCGGGGAGCCTTCTGGGGCAGCCCCCAGGAGGAAGGCTGGCGCTCTGCCGTCTGAGGGTCAGTCTCAGGGACCCCTGTCCACTTGCCCATTTCACAGCTCGCACCCTGGCTTCCCCCACCCGGAAGCCTCTCCAGAGCGGCCCGGCGCGCCAGGGGTTAAGGTCAATGAGTCCTGAGGACCCGCTCTCTTCAGGGATGGGGATGCGTGGCCCTGACTGGGAAGACCAGGCCTGGCTGTTTGACCAGGAAGGGGCAGTGGCCCTGGGCGGCCCCCCGGGCCCATTGCACCGCCGGGGTGGGGTGGGAGGTTGGGGTGTAGATGGAGCCCTGGACCCAGCTCCGGCCCCCACGCCAGCGGCCTTCCCGCAGCCTGCAGGTCTGGCCTGGCCCTGCCCCTCGCCCGCATGTGCTCAGAACCAAGGCAGGGCTTCCTGACAGCCCGGGGTTGGCCAGGAGCTGCTGTCTGTCTCACTCAGCGGGGCTGGGTGGCCCTTTCTGTCCAGCTGCTGTTCTGTGAGGTGCTCTGGGCCCTTTTGTAAGCTCAGCTCAGATGTGGCCCACAGCTGTCAGCGGGCCGGGGAGGGCGGGTGCCTGGGCCTCTCCAGAACAGGCAGCCTGGGCAGCGTGGGGCAGGGGCCACTATGCTCCGCGCGAGGCCCAGTGTCCTGGTTATCACCATGTCATGTGCCCAGCTCCTTGTGTTGTCAGTGTGTCAACTCCGCAGTGACCCTACACATGGTGGGGACTTGCTATCTGCGTTTCCCATGAGGAAACTGAGGCTGAGGGGCAAAGCAGCAGGCCCAAGATGCCGAGGGTGGTGCTGAGCCTGCGTGAAGATGATTACGCCAAAGCTGTGCCCAGGGGAGACTACGGAGCTCATCCCAAGGGGGCCCTGCTGCCCCCTGCCTGTCGCTGCTGTAAGCCTGCGGTGATTCATTCTGAGGGCAGAGGGACCTGGGAGGGGTCCTTGGTCCAGCCCCCTGCGGGGCAGACCTGTCAGCTGGGTGGAAGTTGGCTGACAAAGTGGGTTTTAACCCATGAGCTGGGCTAGGCTGTTTTTAGAGCCTGAGCAGGCCTGGGACAGCTCTGGCTGGGAAGGGGGGTAGCTTGGGTGCTGTCCCTTTGTGGAAGCCCTGACTGGGGTGGGCACAGGTGGGGGCGCCATGACCCGGCTGTGTCCCTGCTGATCCCGGCACCTAGTGGGGCTGTACCGTGCACTAAATGAAATGTTCCCCAGCAGGATATGCAGAGAAAGCCTGTCCCGGTCAGGCCTCCATGTGGCCTTCCTTCTGATGGGGTGTGGTGACACCTGCCTTTTGTTCTGGGGGCTCTGTCCGTGGGTGGGGTCAAGGACCCTCAGGTGTCCCCATTTCCAGGAGAGCTTAAGTCCCAAGGTGCCTGGGTGCCCCTCACTCCCATATTTCCTAGCCTTTAGGTCTGAGCCAGAGCCCAGGAATTTGTATCTCTTTTTTTTTTTTTTTGAGACATTGTCTCACTATGTGGTTCAGGCTGGCTTTGCCTTATGGAGATCCTCCTGCCTCAGCTTCCTGAGAGCTGGGATTACAGGTGTGTGCCATCATGCCCGGCAGGAATTTGAATCCTTAACAAGAGTTCTTCGTGCAGACCTTGGTTCTGGGAGGAACCAGAGCCGTGTCAGATGCTGGGGGTCCTAGGCCACCTTGTGCACAATTGGTTACAGGGTCAAGAGGGTTTGGAGGGGACCCCAGATGTCCGTGCCTCAGTGGGTGCCATGCTGTCTTCAGTGGGAGTCCGTGTGAGGAAGCTGGGGAAGGCCGGGGGGTGCCAGCTGTGTGGGTCTCCCTGACACATCTGCATTCAGCCCGACCAAATGCCTCATCTTTGAGCTGAACATCTGCAGCTGATTCTTTTCTCCTTTGCAGATAAGATCCAAACATCAGTGCCTGGTGTTGCACCGCTCCCCAGCCGGGAGTGGCAGGTGGGCAGAGGCAGGAGCAGGTGTAGGAGGAGGGACCTCTTCCTGCCTCCGACCCGCTTCAGCCAGGACTTGCAGGGCTGTGGTCAGCGCTGCCAGGTTTCTCTGAGGTCCGCCTCGCTCAGTCTCTTGAAGCTTGGAGGTGAGGCTATTGCATCCCTGTGTGCTAGGCTGGGGGATAGGCCAGGCCTCTCTCCCAGTAGCCTGTTTCCTATCTGAAAAATAGGCGTGTAGACTGGGGGATGTGAGCCGCAGCTTTGGGCCTGATACTTGCAGCAGCAGTAAGTGGTTAGCAGCTCTCCTTACACTGTAACATTGTTGTTTTGGAGTCCCTGCGGTGTCTCTGAAGGTTCCCAAAGCCAGGTGCCCACCAGGCCGAGGCTCAGCCTCCCTTGGCCTGGCTCTTCCCACCAGGCAGCAGGCGGCCCCCGGGGTGCTCCGCCTAGGGCCCAGGGTGGTCACTTCCTCCTTGTCACTGTTGCTCCCTGCACCTTGACCTTGCCGCCAGCCCTGAGCCTCTTCCGCCGTTGCCCTGTTGCCCAGGGCGGTGCCTGGCACGCAGCAGCCAATGCCTGGCGGGAGGCTCTTGGGTCGCTCGGTCAGGGCTGTCCTGAGACCTGGCGGGACCCTCGGAGGATAGAGACTCCTTTGTCTGGAGAGCTGTTGGGGCCCCATGGCCTGGCAGCATGAGCCACCCAGGGCCAGAAGGACCCCAGGAAGGGAGGGATTCGGTCCGGAGAACAGGCCAGGCCCTCCCTCCTTGGGCTCTGCAGCCCTGGGCAAGTCACTCACTGTCTCTATTCTGAGGTTCTGGCCCTGTCCTGCCTCTTCCTCTAGAAGCTGGGCTACACAGGAGGCCTTGGAATTTGGGGAGACTGAGGGCAGCAGAAGGGTCTTTTATGCTTTTTCCCCTGCGATGTTGGTGGTGGCACCCAAGGCCTCACACAGGATAGACAAGCACCCTAACACTGAGCTATATCTCAGCCCTCTTTAGTTTCTGTTTTGAGACAGGGTCTCACTCAGTTCCCCAGGCTGAGCTGGAGCTTGTGATCCTCCTGCCTCAGCCTCCCAGAGTTCTGGGAGTACAGGTGTGCACCACCACACTCAGCAGGGCCCAGCATGGTGCCTGGATCTGAGGGATCTTCCAGCCTCTCTGGCAGCCGTCTTGTCCACCAGAGGGGACCCTCCCCGCCTGGCTGTGGAGCCCAGCTGCCCCCTGGCACCCAGCTCCCCCAGGCTCGGGATGAACCCAGCTGCAGAGTGTTGGCTGTGGGGGACATGGCTGAGAGGGGGCCAGGCCAAGGAGGGCCCGGAAGGGCAGCTGGATGTTTCCCAAATGGGTGGGGCGCTCTGGAAGGGAGACCACAGGCCCCCTGACTTGGTTTGGAAAGATCATTCTTGGCGAGGACTCAAAGAACAGATGGCAGGGGACAGTAATGGAGCCCACAGGTAATCACGGTGATGGACCAGAGGTGACAGGAAGGACAGATCCCAGATGTACTAGGAGGAAGACTCAGGGTAACTTTCACTGTTTTGTAAATTTGGGATTATCTACTTTTTATTTTCTAGCTTTAAAAAACCCGATGGGAATGTCTGTCCCTGCCATCAACCATTCTCCTAAAACATTTTTTTTAAGTGGTGCATCACAGAAATGTAATTTTTTGTCTGTTTGTTTTGAGACAGGGTCTCACTATATTCATAGTTCAGGCTGGGCTTGAACTCACTATGAAACCCAGGCTGGCCTCGAACTCACAGCAACCCTCCTGCCTCAGCCTCCTGAGTGCTGGCCACTCTGCCCAGCTATAACATACTTTATTGACTTCCGGTCATTGGACAGCCAGGTTCCTTCTTCCCCTCAATAGTGCTGTGACAGACTTCTCTTTACTGAATCTTCACACGTGTTTTCCCCTAAATATAAGAAACCAAAAAGGGGTTATGTGTTAAAAGCTGGGGCCGTTTTAAAAAGCTTTTGATTAAGAAGTGTAAATTGCTCTCCAGAAGATTGCTCCAATTTACATTTTCAGCCAAAGTGGAGGAGAGGGCCTGCTGTCCTGCATTCTCACCGGCCCTGGGCATTCTTGTTTTCTTCATCGTTGCCAACGTCACGGGGAAGAGAGGCGGAAGTCCGCCGTTTCAAGTTCATTTCTTCGATTACTGCTAAATAGAACCCTGGCATCGAAGCGCTGGCAGAGACTCGGGGACCAGGAATAAAATGCCTTCACTTTACAGACAGACAGGACAGACTGGGGCCCACAGGCCACACTTGTCCTCCAGATCACGCAGCAGGCAGGCGGGGGAACCCAGGTGACACCCATGGGTGCTTCTGCCTGTGCTTCGGGGTGGGTGAGTGGTGGATGGGGCGTCCGCACTCCTCAGGGCCATGGCCATCGGGCCTTCAGGCTGGCCTTGTCCCAAACCTGTCGGTGCTGGGTGGGGAAGGAAGGCCTCGAATCTGCAGAAGGGGCGTGTCCGGGTCTGTCACACAGGATAGGACAGTTTGCACAGCAACTGGGACGTCTGCTGGCCAGGGAGGGGACAGAGTAGCTTGCAGGGATCTCAGGGAGAGCAGGTGGTGGGCTGGAAGCCACGGGGACCTTGCCG